CCGAAGGTAATTAGGCAAATCAGGGTAAAAACAGGAGCAGCTCTATCCAGAAAAAGGGCTCCAGACATTTGCGGCTTTGAGGACCTGCCGTGGCCTAACAAAGCTTTCTGAGGAATTTGAAGTTTGCTCTCTCTTTTGAACTACCTACGTTAATCCCAAATAACAGAAACAGAGGTATGTAAAACGAAAACAAAATCTAGAATCTGCAGGAAGGCAATGCTTTTTAGACCAACTGAAATACAATTAAAATTCTGGCAAACCCCAAATCTTACATAGTAGGGCCACATAAGTCATAATTAACTTGATAAATGATGATGAGTAGTAGTATTGCATTACTGCTTGTCCTAACTGCATATGGGTAGCAGGATATATATAAGAAAACAGTCACGCATTAATAGTGAATAAATATTTGTGATAACTTGCCACTTTTCTTTATCAGCTAATTTATTAATTCCCACATTTGTGTTTGCATATCAGTTGTCCTTCATGTAGGAGTAAACTTTTTTTAAATTTATGACATGGAAAAAGAAAGGTTACTTACCTGTAACCATGGTTCTTCGAGTGGACCTCTGTGAATTCACACTACCCGCCCATCCTCCCCTCTGTCCGTCACGGGTATCTTATTGTTGTATAACTCTCGTGCCCGGCGGACAAATTGCAGGAACTGAGGGGAATCTTGGGTGGGAGGAGCTTGTGCCTCATGGGGGATCATACCATAAAATTGTTACTTTTAGCTCTGGAATGCTCCGAGAATGTCAGCGCAGGCGCAGACTAAACCCATATGTGTGAATTCACAGAGGTCCACTCGAAGAACCATGGTTACAGGTAAGTAACCTTTCTTTTTCCATGTCATAAATTTAAAAAAAGTTTACTCCTACATGAAGGACAACTGATATGCAAACACAAATGTGGGAATTAATAAATTAGCTGATAAAGAAAAGTGGCAAGTTATCACAAATATTTATTCACTATTAATGCGTGACTGTTTTCTTATATATATCCTGCTACCCATATGCAGTTAGGACAAGCAGTAATGCAATACTACTACTCATCATCATTTATCAAGTTAATTATGACTTATGTGGCCCTACTATGTAAGATTTGGGGTTTGCCAGAATTTTAATTGTATTTCAGTTGGTCTAAAAAGCATTGCCTTCCTGCAGATTCTAGATTTTGTTTTCGTTTTACATACCTCTGTTTCTGTTATTTGGGATTAACGTAGGTAGTTCAAAAGAGAGAGCAAACTTCAAATTCCTCAGAAAGCTTTGTTAGGCCACGGCAGGTCCTCAAAGCCGCAAATGTCTGGAGCCCTTTTTCTGGATAGAGCTGCTCCTGTTTTTACCCTGATTTGCCTAATTACCTTCGGGCATTCACTGTGAAATAAAAAAAAGCAAGGTTTAAAAAAATGAATACATTAATGACTCCAGCTAAATCCATCAAGATCAGCTTCTCAGAAATTAAAACCTCTTCCATGATGCAATGAGTCAGTGAGTTAACTGACCTTGATCCAGGTTTGAGACCTTGTTGAGCCACTAGGTGAATTCTTTCATTTGGTTTCATAGAACCAGTAGAATCACAGAACTGTAGAGCTGGAAGGGACCTCAAGTCCAACTCCCTACCAGAAATTGGCACCTTAAAGCATCCCTGACTGTTTGGCTATCCAACCTATGCTTAAAAACCTCCAGCAATGAGTTTACACCACCCTCCCCAGGCAGTTGGTTCCATTGTTGAATGGCTCTCAAGATGTGACTACACAGCAGGAAAAATGAAAATTGATCTCCTTTGACTCTGTACCCTGGAAGTTGGGTTGCCTTTGACAAATTTGCTTTAGCTGACTGTACATGAGTCAGAAGAAAGAGAAAGGAGGAAATTAGCAGTTTGTTAAGGCACTTCTGCCATAGCTGTTCAGATTTGCAGGAGGCACAGCTACAGCAGAGCTATCTTAATAAGATGCAAACAAGGACTGATTGCTGATTTCCACCTTTCTCTTTCCGAGTTCCTGTCTGTTTGGACAAAGCAAATGGACTTCCATCAGCTGGTCTTTGCAAACAAGAATTTATAATTTCCCCCTCATTTCTCTCTCTCTCTCTCTCTCTCTCTCTCTCTCCCTCTCTCTCAATAATGCTGGCACAAGCTTTTTTAAGAAATACACAAGGAGAGTGCTTGAGGGAAACTGACACCCATGTGAGTGTTCATTTGCTTCTTTCTCCGCCACCTCCTTGAACTACGAAGCTGGGAGTGCCAGCTTCTGGTTGCCTTTTCAGCCATGAAACTGCATCAGTTCAAGAAACCACACCACATTCTATTGCCAAAAATGTAGTTAAAAAGTACAGATCAGGGGCAAGGGAGAATTCCAGGCTTATTCTCATTGATGTGTACATCGTGGAATCAACAAAAATTAATATGAATTTGACCTTCACAATCCCAGAGCATTTCTTGCATTGTTTCTTTAAAGTAATCACCCATTCACTGTTTGGAAGTTCTTCCTAATGTTTAGTTGAAATTTGTAACATGAATCCATTACTTCTGACCCTATCCTCTTTATAGGAAAAAAACAAGCCTGCTCCATCATTCACATGAGACTGGTCTTCAAATACTTGAAGACAGCTATCATATTACCTCTGAGTTTTCTCCTCTCCGGGTTAAACATTGCAAGTTCTCCCAACTTTTCCTCATAGTGCTTTGGTTTCCAAACCTCTTACTATCTTGGTAACCTTCCCCTGGATACATTCCAGCTTTTAAATATTCTTCTTAAACTGGGAGGCCCAGAAATGAATACAGTACTCCAGGTGAGGTCTGACTGAAGGAGAATAGAGCAGCAGTATAACTTCATTTATTCTGGACTCTCTATTTCTCTTAATATACCCTAGTATAGCATTAGCTTTTTTTGCTGCCAGCTCACACTGCTGGTTCATATTTAGTTTCTGATCTACTGAAACCCATAGATCCTTTTCAGTTGTAGTACTCTTGAGTGAGCTTTTACCTATCTTGTATTCGTGTATCTGATTTTTCATGCCTAAGTGTGGCACTTTACATTCATTTGTTTGTACTGGCCCAGTTCTTTAATCTCTTAAGATAATTTGGAATCCTGATTCTGTCTCCTGGTTCCCCTACCTCACAGGCTTGTGGTGAAGATAAAGTGTGCAGGAGTAGAGCCATGTGTACTTCTTAAGCTCAGTGAAGGGAGAGGTGAAATATAACCATACCACATAAACAACAACTACATTTTGATATTTCATATTTATTCCTGCTCCCCAAACAGACCAGATCTTATTTTACCCATTTTTACACATTCTCCTTCAGAATTCCATAGAAGACTTGCCTTAGCACAAACCTCCAAGTTTCCTCAAGTGCCTCAAATCCCATTCAGGAGCAGCTTCAGGATTTAACAGATCGTACTTGAAGAACTTGATCTTCTGATGGGCACATAGAATCATAGAAAAGTGCAGTTGGAAGGGGCCTGCAATTTCTTTTCAAAGTTTCATCTGCTTCCTTTCTTTGATTAGGCAGTCGGTAGTACACGCCAACTACCAAGTTCCTTTTGTTTTTTGACCCAACTAGATTGATCCCGATGCTCTTGATGGGTCAGCCAATCTCCTCCTCCTGTACTTCCGTGCAGGAATGTGTGTATTTTTGACATATACTGCAACTCCACCTCCCTTTTTATTCTCCCTGTTCTTTTTGATAAGTTTATATCCCTCAATTGCAGTTTATATCCCTCAATGGCAGGCAACAGCAGGCAGCAGCCATTAGCTCATGCCTGCACTGTCTTCTCTGCGTGTGTCCGCATTGCCCTACACATCCCACTCCTTGGAGCACCTTCCTCCCCTGTTCAGTGTGATAGAGACGGATGGGTTTGTGGGGGTGGTTCTGTTTTGAAATCTCCTCTGGAGACACTGGCAGTGGGTGTTGCCTGTTTATGTGTATGAGCAGTGGGTGGTTAGGGCCACCAATGTCCCTTGTCTCCCCCTCCCTCTACACATCTTTCCCTCCATCTCCTGATGCCTCCCCAGAATGCCTTCATGTCTCTCAGTGTGCACTTAGACTCAGGAGATAAGGGTTCACATCCCTGCTCACTTGGATACTACCTGTGCTGGATGGGGTTACACTCCCCCTGAAACCGCAGGTGCACAGTTTGGGTGTAAAACCACTCCCTAAGTATCTCACATATCTGGGAAACCCTATTATAGCCACCCTAAATCACATGTGACTTACGGGTGCACAACACACACACGGGGAAGGCGTGCCTCTAGTTTGAGGAACAGTGCTGTAGCTCCGTTCAAGCATTATAGCCCAAATCTAGATAGAGCCTGGTTGCCACATGGGGACACATTAAAAACCCCAACCTTATCTCCCCTCTCCACTTGGAAGCCATCGAGACTTTTGCATGAAGTCTCAATTGCAGTTCTGAAGTGGGGACTGTTAGCCTGTTCAGCTTTGGCTGGCCACAAGCCCTGAGAAGGTAGAGTCCCACCATCCTGCAAGTACTATACGGGGCATTAAGCCTAACATGCTTGTGGTCTCCACTGCAGACCTCATGCAAAGGCCTTTCATGACTGGTGGGGAGAGGCTTTGATGTGGGGCCTATGTGCAGGGCCTACCACCTTTTTAGCCTTCTACACAGTTTCAGGCATGGCACATAAGTCAGAGGTTATTCATATCCATCATATAAAAAGGTACATAAGGTATACTAATTTTATGTGTTTACTCACCTGTTGACCATAACATCTTGCAACCAAAAGAACTCATCCACTACTCATCGTCATGAAAGTAATTTAGATTTTATTTTTTTAAATAAAGAAGGTAACAAGGACACACCTTAAGGTACTAAAAATGTGGGTGAAGGCAGGCTACTATTCTGGGAAGTTAAAAAGGTACCATGTGTTAGTGTAATTTTCCACTTCCTTGATTGTTTTATCATTGTTTACTTTATCACTGTTTGTCTAATTTGTAGTGGAACATGATTACATTTAAAGCCTGATTATCATGCTGCAGCCCTTTTCTGTTCCGATGATAAAATAAAGGCTTACGGTAGAATGGCTGGTGGCAGCAACCCCAGGATCCTGGAACAGAAAGATAAGAAGCAGGACTAGAAGTGGAGGACCAGAACACTCCCATCGTAGGTTTCCTCATGTTCTTCACCCTTACACTTTGTGACAAGACTGGCCAGGATGAGGAAGGATGAAGAATACTAAGTTGCCCCCTTAATGGCTGTGTCAGAACCTGACTGTAGGAAAGCAGAAGTGATTCTGGCATCCCCAGATGTCCAATCGCATCTTGGCTTCCTCCATTCTTAACTGACTCAAACTTAGATTTTGCATGGACAAATTACAACAGTCCAGATGCTGTTTGGACTGCAACCTCAGCAATCCCAACTAGCACAGAGAAAGATGAAGTATCTTAGTTACCTGTTCAGCAACATCTGGACACTTCCCTTTGGTCATGCATGCCCTAGCTGCTTCTTTTAGGTGCCAGAGGGAACTCTAGGGAAGACACAATCCCAAATAGCAAAAGAAGGAGCTAAACAGAATAAGGCAGAACTTCCTACCCATATAAGATTACTCCTCCTGCTACATTTTGGGTTGAGAGAGAAATATGCATTTAGAGTAAGGGGGCAACTACATTGGCAAACAACACTCTGAGATTGGGATGGTCAGGTTTGTACTATTTTCCATTGACTACATGACATATCAGTCAGTGTGAATTGGTCCACAGTCTTCCCCCTCTCCCCCCCGATGGCCAATATTTTTTCTCTGCTGTTGAGGCTCCTAGGGTTTTTTTGTAGTGAATTTATTCACATTGGCTCAGATGTGGCTGCTTGTGCCAATCCATAAAAAGTTTCAGATCTTTCTAGGGAGGGTTCTGTAGTTCTTCTACTTCAAGCCATTCCATCCAGCTACAGCAGTAGCAAGACAGGGCAGGACGCTCATTCAGATAGGAAACTGGCTGCTGTTTGAATCCTTTCCTCCCAAAGCCTGGTGCCTGGGTCTGCTTGTTTTCTTTTTCCCCTACTGTTGACTTCTTTCTTTCTTTTTTTATGCTAGGCGCTTCCAAGCTAGGGCACCCAGGAAATCAAAAGGGGGGTTTGGGACTGAGGAGCCAAAAGAGGGGAGAAATTTGCAATCTGTTATTTCTTTCTTTCTTTCTTTCTTTCTTTCTTTCTTTCTTTCTTTCTTTCTTTCTTTCTTTCTTTCTTTCAATGCTAGGCGCTTCCAAGCTAGGGCACCCAGGAAATCAAAAGGGGGGTTTGGGACTGAGGAGCCGAAAGAGGGGAGAAATTTGCAATTTGTTAAGGAATTGAAATGTGTTGCTGGAGGCGACTCTTGAGAGTCCCCTGGACTGCAAGGAGAACAAACCTGTCCATTTTAAAAGA